TTCTCGATAAAGGATGGATGAGGACGCTCAGTGAGGCAGGGAGGCAGCTCTGTTTCTCACTCGTCTAGCCGTCTCTGTTTGTATTCACTCGTTCTGCTTAAGTGCTCTCTGTCCTGTGTGGTCTCGTGTTCAGAGGCAGGCTTCAGTCAGGCCAGAAATCATGACACACAAAGTTCCTGCTGACAAATATGTTTTCAGTGCGTTTCAGATGCAGTAGCAGGTTACACCTGGGATTTTTTGCTCCACTTTCTCTGTGCATTCATCGCCAAATCAATTGCAGATTTAGTCAACAGAGATTACCAAACCATAAGTCTGCATCTCATCCGTTGTCTGTTTATCCACACTGCCACCCTCACTGAATAAAGTTAAGTAAAGCAGTATAAATAATGGCATGATGCCCAATCTAGCTGGGATCATTGCTTACTTTTAAGTTAAGAAGGATTGAAGAAAAAAAAAACAGTCCAAATTAAGCCAGGTTCAGTAAATAGCACCCCAATCGTCAGTCAGTTTGGAAGTTTGGAAGTTATCGAAGTTCAAACTTTTTTTGTTTCTCGCAAATGTTGTAGGAGACTTGTTAGAGGACTACAAATATATAATCACTCACTAATACACAGATGAAATAGTGTCAGTTTACACCTTTGTAATACCCCTTAACCATTTGTGTCCATTTTCTCTATTACTAAGGATTTGGAACTGTAATCACACTTTTCCACAAAGTACACCAAATATGGTGAAGTTCTTGTATAAGCTGCTTTCAGCTGAAAGGTGCAAACTGTGAAAGAACTGCTAGATGAACATTGTTGGTTTTATTGGATGGAAATACACCAGAGTCTAAACATTTGGACATTGTTTCAGCCACAAGAGTTATTTCCCAGCAAGCATCACCATGTCAAACCTAAATTAGCATATTTTAATAATTATCCATAATAACTATGTTGCAATGTTGGAGGACCCTGTGACTTTCATTGCCATTTCTGCACTTTAGCTACTGTCCATACTGTATAACAATAAAGCCTTTCAATCTTTAATATTTAATCTTGAATCCACTTTAACATTTATTTTTTAATGAGATAAAACAATCAATTCTCCATTACCTCGAAATATTCTGGCTGCTTAGAATATCCTTCATTTTAAATGTTATTTGAAAGAAAACAATGCTCATCTATACTGTTCTTGTTTTGGAATCCAATGAAAGAGAGAATCTTGGATGACTTAATCCAGTTCTGCGTAATGTTTTATTGCAGTGTCCCATCTTTTTAGGCGAAAATGGCAAAGACTCAAATGTGCATTTGATTTAGATTTAGTTTCTACTTCATCTGTAAGTCGTCTCTGTTTTCTTTAGGAAACAAACTGTGAAGTATGCTGGCTGCTATCCAGATCTTTTTGGCTAGTGTCCAGAGTACCTGCTGTGGAACTGGCCTTCACTCCCCCCTCCCCAGCTTGAACCTTAGTTTTGAAAAATCTTTCATGACCATTATTCTGGATCCCCATCATGTTTTGTTTTTGCTCCCTACGCATGTTGCCCTTCCTCTGACAGATGGAGTTAAGCAAAGAGGTTAAAGATGACGCAGTTCAGCTGTGTGGGAGTGGAGAGTAATGAGGCCCGGAGCCTCTGTGGCCTGACAGCCGGAGCCCAGGGACACAACAGGTCCTCTGATCTGACCCAGGGACGGAGCAAACTCCCAGCCAGCAGCTTACAAACTTTCACTAGAGACTCCAAAAGCATAGGATATTTTAAAGCGGCTTTGCAATCATTACACACTGCAATAGATGATTTAATCTGACCTCTCTTGCTGAAAAATAACTGCCCCTCACTCTGCAACACAATCTGGGCACAGAATACACTGTGCAGCTTAGCAGCAGGTCTCTGAGAAGCAGATGTTAAAGGCTGAAAACAACTTGTACATCTCTGAGACCACAGTGGGCTGGGGGATCATGACCCTGATTACGTATACCAACATGTTAATTATCCAATGAGAACGGCTACTGGCATAGCTTTTACTGAAAATATGAGACAATGACATCTAGATATGCAATACGCGATTGCCTTGTCATATTATGAATTGCAAAAATATATTACTAATGGTTAATATTATTGTTATTATTATACTCATATTTAATTTTAAACTAAATGATCCCTCAGTTATATAACCCACCAACTGAAAATTAAAGTAATTGTTAGTTTTTGTCTGTGCTTACTTTAGCGTTCTCTCAAGACTTTTAGTTGTAAATATACTGTTTATTGATTTACGATACAATACAATATACTCCTTGAGCAAGACACCAAACAATTAACTGCTAGGCGCGCTGTGCCTGATCAAAAATACCACAACACCATGAAAGCAGCTCATAAAGTACATTACAATTGTGAATATTATTATTACACATATTAAACAACCAGTGATATAACAAGCAACATATTGCACAATCCCTCCTTATATTATCAATGTATTTCACAATCACTATCAAATGAAGCAAAAGCTAAAATGTTAAACAATGTTTACTGAGGTAGGCACAAATTAGTTTTTTATCATTAGGGTAATCGTCTGCCAAAAAGTAAGCGATATTCTCTGTGCTCGCCTGAGAACAGACTGCTCATATATTGACTGGAGGGACTAATTTCTCTACTCACCGTCATGTCAGACTGTGTATACACCACATGCTAAGCCAGTTTAGATGTTAAATGTACACAGAGAATACCAAACCATGCTAGCATACTATACATGACTTTGCTTATTCGTTCAAAATGTAAAACCCAGTTGAAATGAACTTATCCTCTGATCCACCCCATACACCCTGAGTCTGTGTGAAAAGTATAATCTCTGCTGTAAAAGAGAGAACATAAACTTTGAGCAAGGGCCTTCTGGCTAAAGGTGTTGAACCTACTGCCCAACCCTTATTGTTTATTCTAATAATAGAATAAAGCTATATAACAATAGACTTGGTAAGGAAATCAAGCCTGCAAAACTTAGCGCAGTGGGATATGTTTCGTCTTCTGTAAGGATACAAATGAATCCATTCCTTTTTTGTTGTCTTATTTTAGGATGAAATGTACATTTTTGTAATCACTTTAAAGCAGATTTTTGTATTTCCCAAGTCCCAGATGTTCTTCATGCAGAGTAGAGGTATATCATAATAAAACCCAGTGTGGGAGAGTTTATAGTCAGGTCAGGCCAATTGTGTTTGTATTCCCATCAATCAGAGGTCTCATAGCACTTAACACCTCAATTATGAAAATAATAAATGAAATTACAAACAGCAATGTTATGCAAAAACTCCTTAACAGAGGTCATCATGAAATGAAGTGAAACAAACCTTGAGACCTACTTAGAAAGCAATGCTGATTATGAGATTTATTAGACAACTTTATACACAGTTATTGATGTAAAGTGGTTCTCCCTTCCCACCAGAGCTAAATTACCTCACAGTCACCATAAATCACAAACAATAATTACTGTAAGTGCATGAAGAGGTAGGAATGGCTACGTGAGGATCTTCATGCAGCCTTTTATAATCTGGCAGCTTCTTATGGGCAGATCACTCCTCTCTTCTGAACCGCAGAAGGTGCCAAAGATGCTTCCTCACCATGTTGAGTCTTAACGGTGTTAACCCATGACCGAGGTCAGAAAATCCTCCCGACCTCGCCAAATTCTGAACGGCAACTCAGGAGCAAGAGCCAAGAAGCCCTTGTGATGTGCAGCAATAAAAAAAAGAGAGTACAAATCAAATTCAAGTTAACACTAGAAAAGGATTTATTTTATAAGTTTGGCAGAGAGGGTGAAAAAAATAATCAACGCCCGCGGGAGTGGAAGTGACTTTTTAACAATAACTTGAACTGAACTGTGACTTTCCCATGCTGCGAATGAAGCTAACTCGGCTAGCTGAGCCTATATCCTGTGGTGTTGTTGTAAAGCCGACACAGTTCGATGAACACCACTCTATAGAGAACATGCTCTTCTGTCACAGGAACAGCTGTACATTTTAGCCAGACAACCAGCCACTTTGAAATAAATAGGGAGGACTGAAGTGGTTTTACTGGAAGCTGGTCTGAAGTCTTTTGTACAATGCGTTCTGTTGCAGAGAGGACAGATGCGTCCCAAATATGAAGCCTTTCCTGCCACTTATCTATTGTCACAGATTCACCACAGCCTCAGAAAGGTTTACTGTGAGTGTCAAATGGTGGCAATGCATCATCATTATCATCCTCATCATCATCATCATCATCATCGTCGTAAAAGTAGGACATTCCTCATTACAGTAATCAGAATTTTTGGAATCATGTGGGAAGTTCCTTGTCTGTCTGTGTGTTGTTATATGTCACATTGTCATTTAATCAGAGCAGACAGTGTAACAGTATAAATTTCATCAGGTGTGTGTGTGTGTGTGTGTGTGTGTGTGTGTGTGTGTGTGCGTGCGTGTGTTATACGAAAACTCAAACGCAGCAGCATTGATGAGGACAGATTGCGGAAGCAGGTTGTCTGTTGCCGGCTCTTCTGCTGGAGGGTATTTTATGCGACGTACGTTTCCCTTCCTGCGATGGAGTCAACCAGAGGTTTTGTGTTTTCCCAGGCCAATGAGAAATGCACTCTGTTTATCATGGGATGATGGGAAAAATCAAGACGGAGGGGGAAACCATCAATGGGAAAATAAATAGAGAGATGAATCTTACACCACAGGAAACAGGTTTTGAACCCAAACAGTTGGGCACACAGAGGAACGTGATATATATGAGAGACTGGATTTGCTGCCTGTCAGAAAGGCTTTTCCCCTGCAGGGGGGAACAAAGGGTGTGCGATCATCTCCTGTCTTTCACTGCAGTTCCAGCTTTAACCACTAGAGAATAAAGATAGTTGAGTGTCTGGTATTGACGACACTGCAGCCTGCAGACTTTGGTGTTTTTATGTCCATGATATTTTGTATGTATTGCATTTTCAAGAATAAGGTTGTAAACAGTAACACTATACAATTGAGACACAGCAAACCTGAATGAATAACCAACATTCGTTTCTGTTTTGCAGAGTCTTCCCCAGCCCGTCATACACAATACTACTGAAGGTAAGAATGTCTCCTAGTTTTCTTTCTGTAATATTTGTTGGGATGATTTTTTAATGCAATATTCTACAGCAAGAGATTCAAGTCCATAAAATCAATAAATGTTTTGTTCATTTGTAATCTTGTAAACAGGTAAAATCCCTTCAATGTATGCATTACATTATATCAGATTAAGCAGACTTGGGCACTGATAGGCTCTTTCAGGTCTTCCTGTGCTGACCTGAGTTCAAACAGTAAACTGTTTTGTCAAACCATATTTGTAAAGCAGACGGAGAACGAACAATAGCCTGATGCAAACCAAACGGATGGATGCCAGCTTGGAAATAATACCTATATTTACTGAATTTAGAGAATGGTAGGACATGTTGGGACTAGCAGGGATTGCTCCACTGCTTACCTTCTCATATTCACTTCCTTCCTTGCATCACTTTAAATGAATGTAGCTCATTGGAAAATACACTGACTGTAAGAACTGCAGCCAGAGGACTAGGCAGAACATTTGTGGCAATAAAATGGCAAATATCAGCTGCAAATGGCAAGTAACATGGCCTTTTGCGCTGTACAACATTATAGTTTGTGGCCTCCTCTTCCTGCCGTACATGCTTCTCCAGCCGTCTCCTCCCAGACTGTCTGCTTTTATAAACAGCTGTTGTGGTGCCAGGCTCCATTGGGTGACCCCGAGGTTCACTGCCGTCCCTGAGGTGCCTGCAGGGCGGCCCAGCTCCAGATCCAGCCGGGTTCTGTTCATGACCGTGTTTCCAATGTTTGTTTTCTCTTGCTTCTCTGTTTGTTCGGCCGTAGTCATCCCTGTTCCCCCCCTCCACCAGACTGCGCAACTGGGACACTTTCACACATATACTCCCACAGGAAAGCGTACTGTGCATTACACAAACATTTTGACTTCAAAATGAAAACAGGATATACACTGGCGCATTGCAACTGGTTTTATGTTTCGGTGTGCATGTATAAGGTTGCCATTGTTGGATTACTAGGTTAATTACTGATACTGTTTGTGTAACAGTGCAGTTTGGTGTGCACTGTGAACAGAAGGAAGAAACATGGACAGACAATATAAATAATGTGTCTCTTGAGGCAAGAAAGGACACAAGCTGACGTCTTTGTAACAGTAAAATGGTTGATGCTCAGCCTCCCACTCTCATCCATAGTGTTGATGTTCCAAGAAGTGTGGGGTCGCAGCTTCTGCCGGACCATTGAGAAGCTGGTGGAGGTGGTGCAAGAGTACCCGACAGAGGTGGAGCACATCTACAGCCCCGCCTGTGTGCCGCTTGTGAGGTGTGCAGGTTGCTGCGGGGATGAAAACCTGGAGTGCCATGCCACCCTCACCACAAACGTCACAATGCAGGTAATACAAGCAGGGCATGGTGCTATGTAATCATTATTCTTAAACGTCCATTACTGTAGGAAAGATGTTTGCTTCTTTTGGTAATCTTAAATGATTTTATCCTTCAGCTGTTGAAAATCAGGCCATCAGAGCCCGGTCAAGAATATGTTGAGATGACGTTTGTGGAGCATCAGACATGTGAATGTAGGTAAGAAAACAAGTCATTATTTTTGACATAAATATATATAAGTACACAAACACTTACCCTGTCTTCTAGAAATTACATTCTGCTAATTGACAACAGCAAAGTAGTGCCATATCAGTTTTTTATGTTTACAACAAAACATATTTGTGTTGTATATAAGTAGTACACTTAAATGAAATTTCTAGGAGACAAGGTTTTTAATACTAACAATAATTATCAAAGAATTGTAGCTGGCTGTTCTTTCAAATTTATTGATTTGTTTTCAGAGTCAAGAAACCTATTGTGAAAGTTGAAAGGTAAGAACATGAATAATTTCCTACAGAATTTCTAGATTTTTTAAAAGAATAATAGTTTTCCATTTGAGAGAATGAAGGCTTGGTGGTAATTTTGTTCACATTGCAGGAAAAGGCAACGAGGACGAGGAAGGAAGAGAAAAGAGAAACAAAAACCAAAACCAAAAGAGTGTGACAGGTGATGGCGCATTCAAATAGATTCATACAACCCCTAACTTTAAATGAATTGCAATAAAAATGCCTTATTCTTTCTTGTGTTTTTTTCAGTTGCCAGAACCCTCGCAGGTAACTGCAGTGGCGACCCAACCCCATTTGCGGTGTGGCTCGCTATTTATTTCTAACCCAGTATCAACATCAAGAGTCTCCCTCGCTTATCTATCAATACTGTGTCTGCAGCCAGAGACTCTAACAGCTGGGTTGTTTTGCTGACATGCCATCCTGACGATGGCCCGAGTGTTTTAATGACAAGCTTCAGTCAGAAGTGTGTTTTGATTGGTGGAATCACTGCTGTTACACAACGGACACAATGGACATCCCTGGGAGCCAGTGCAATGTAGAACCAAACAGACAATCTTTTATTTTACACTAGTTATGACTGTACCCGTTATTGTAATTTGGTCCTTTCTTTGGTATTTGAAGTTGGTTACATTTGTTTTGATTCTATATTTATTGATGATACAGCTGAGTATAATTTGACTATCAACTGTCTTTGGTTCAAACATTATCCATGACGCCTTGACTTGTCATAGCAGCATATTATGTTGGACTGTGAAGCTGCTTTGTACAGGACATAATGAAATGTCTCCCTCTAGTGTTTATTGAAACAGTGTTTTTTTCTATATTTTTTCCTGCAAAATCATTTAATGTTGTTCAATTAAAAGATGTCATTTATTTTTGGACAACTGTTATGACCATATCTGTGAACAAGAATGTAGAAAAGCTAGAGCATATTACATATAAGCAGGATGGGGGCAAAAATCTGAAAATTAGTTTTTGGAAAAGTCAATGTTGATGCTCCCCACATTGGCTTTACATTAATTTGGCATGGTAGTGCCCAAAACAGCTTTGGTGCTGCACCTAGGCCTTATATTTACAATCACTGTAGTCAGGAAGAGATCAATTGAAGTATGTAAAACGATGTAAAAATGTAAAACAATGTCCTTTTGTATTTTTTGTTTATGTACTTACCTACACAAAGAACATCTATATGAAAATGTACAAAGTAACATTTCTACTGTGTGAGTATTTTTATCTCATTGAAATATTTATTTTGTAATTAAATTGTTATGATTGTCGGTTTGGGTTGTGTAATTTATTTTATTAAATAGAGACTAATCGTACCGGTACCAATGACTAATAGTAAGTAAAAGTCGATTGCTGTCATTGTCATGAAGCTTTTCACACTCTTCATAAATAATAGCCAACAATTTTAGTTTTTGAAAATTGTTTATAAGAAAAGTTCACAGAAAAATAAAAATGTCCTAACCTTTTGTAATATACCAGGATACAATGGATGTGTGAAGGGATGATGGTAGTACACTGTATATCTGTGAAGTTATTATACTTACTTTGCAAAATAAAATTGTATCATCATTATTTAAAAAACATATTTCTCCAAACGTATTGGTGTAGCAGCAGGAAACCATTATTGTCTAGATTGAATTTGGGATATCACTATACTCTGTGCCAGTTGTAGTACAGTTGTTATTGAACAGGAGTAGTCTATGGTGGATGTGGACAAGGCATTAGATGTTTGATGAATTTAAAGATGCTTCTCTGTCAACGTCTATGGTCAACTTCCTAAGGAATAGCCTAGGATTGATGGAAAAACCTGACAAACCACTTGACTCCAGAAGATGGCAGTAATGCAACACTGACGATGCCATCTACCGTCAAACCTCCAAGAAGAAGTAGTAGAAGCTCATCTCAGACCAGAGTCGAGTACATTAAATAACCTTAGCTAATCGTGGACACAATTGTAAACAGTTATCTGTCATCAAGCAAAGGGCGTATCGGTAAGGTTTGAACAAATAATGCTTTTCTCAAAATAACTAATTGACAGAGTCGCGATGCGCTGGTTGCTAAGCTGCAGCTATGGAAGCTGGCGGGGTACCGAGCTAACTGAACTCACAATGCAGATGTTGCATTACACATACTGTTGTTAACTTATTGGCTTGAGCGTACCTGTCTAAACGAGTTCAACCTAACCAGTGTATGACCATAACAAGCATTCAAACTTGTACCTTAGTAAGTTCATATTTGCCTGTGTAAACAACAACAAACAACACAGTTAGCTGCAACTTATAAACATGCCGTCCAAACTACCAGTAGCTATTTGCTGTCAGCATTGACGTATTCTTTTAACTTGCTATGAGCCATTTCAGGAAATGTTGAAAGGAGAGGAGAGTAACTCTGGAAACTGGCTCAATTCATTAAATTGACGCAAAATGTGTAATAATCAAATTGGTTGTTAAGTATTTTTACCTGTTTAATGTAAATAAACTCTATTTGCAGACGTTTGCATAACCTTTTCTCTGTAAATGTGGTCTGTTAAATGTTACAATTGAATACATTAAACACAACAAAACACAAAATAATTATTTACAGAAGGGCTATTGTATTGATGTTGCACACTGACCTGTCAGTAGAGAAGTTATTTGTAGATAATTCATGGAAGCAGCACTGAGTGAATAATTCATCCTCTCCTCTACAACCGAGTTGAACTGTTATTTTCCATCAAGACACTAAATGTATTATTAAAAAGTAACGCAGTGGTAAAAAAAGTTTTATGTTTACAAGATGATCTGTGTCCCTTCACTTTTTCAGCCTAAGTTGGGGTCCGTTCTTGTTGTTAACCTACCTGTAGTCTTGTCTTTGCCATGACATAACCTGAACTCAGATCTTGTCAGTTACCTACTCACTCTCTATTTTTTCAGAAAGACCAGCATGAGCAGTTTCAGTAGACCCGACACACACAGGACAACATCAACCACCACCAGGTCAACACACCTTGGAGCATCAAAGTCTGACCTGGAGAGAGATTCAGGCTTCTCAGGTTTGAAATAATCACGAATGATACACCTTTAAGTTTGTCCAGATGTATGTTTTTGACAGGGTAGTGATGTTAGTATGTTAAAAACTAGATATATTTGTATATGTTATTAGCATTTCCTTGAGTTAGAAAAAAATCGATTCATTTACAAGGTCAACCCTAATAACATATAGGGATTTAGGTCATCCTGTATTGGGTCACATTTTTATTTGATTCTTTGCACTATTAAGGCTTACTCATCATGTTTGTGGTATCTTTTTCCAGACGCTATAGAGCGGCTTATCTACATCTGCCAATATTTTCATAGTACTAATGTTCTGCCCCACTTGTATTACACAATACATGACGAGACTAATATGCTAGTCTCCTCCTTTTCAGATGCCAGCTCCGAGTACCTCAGTACAGTCGATCTGACTGACTCCAAAGATGCAAGTAGAAATGGGACGATAGTCAACCGTGACGCGACAGGTCCCCAGGTGGCTGTGATGGGAGGCTCCTATGCTGGACTCTCTCCACTAATCATCATGAATAACTTTGTCTTACATCAGGTAAAATATAGCAATATAGGTCTTGTTCTGTGAGTGAAAATTATGTACATTGTAATTTGACAGTTTTTTTAGGAAATGGAATGTTGCACTGTTTTTAATGTTTTTTTCATTGAATATGTGCTCCTTGTATGTAATAAATACTGTATTATTGGTATTATACTATAGCTCATAGCATGATATTTAAAGTTGTTTTTTCTCTTTAGTCATCTCCACTGGCTCCAGCAGAAAATCAGTGGGGCTTTCCTTCTCTCTTGGAAGTGATGCCTCAGTCACAGGTGGTTCTTCTTCAACCCATGGTATCAAATGGTAGCAGCAGCAGCAACAGCTCCTCAAAGACTGGCTCTGAAAATATACAAAAACCAAAAAGCTACATGCCCATCCTCAAGTCTTATCCAAGAATTGCCCGCCAACCGGCGGCCTTGCACACAAAGAGAATAGGATCCTCCAAGGTGAGGGTGAGTTCAACGTCAGGATATGAGAAGCGCCAGAGGAGGCACCACCACGGCCACAAGCTCCACAGCTCCCCCATCCCAGAGCCAGCACCGCACACTACAATCAAACCCATCTCAAACTTTGAATCAGCTAACCACCAATCACAGCCAGCCGAGGGTCAGGAGTCTCTCTCCCTGCTGACAGGGGCCAACTCTCTGCTCCCCTACACAGATGAATTCAGGACAGATACTGACAGTAACAGAATCGATGTGGACCAGGAAGACGCGCTCTCATTGGATTGTAACAAACTGAAGCGTTTCAGCAATACCTACAACATTCTCAACAAATCTGGCTTGCTGGGGATCACCCTGCGCACAAAGCAGCTGATGAAGGAGAATAAGCGCACCCAAGGCCAGCTGCAGCAGCTTCAGGAGCAGACATCTCTGCTGCTGGAGACTCTGGGCAGCAGAGACCCTCAGCTCTGGACTAAACTGCTGCTCTCTGTGCAGCACACAGACAAGGAGCAAAGTGGGGATAAAGCTCAGAGAGTCCTGGCGTAATACATATCGCAGAACATGACCAGCATTTTGTGACCTATTAGGAGGTCACAAAATGAAAACCTGGATCTCAAATATTTAAGATGAAGGCTGTCTTTGGGTAATATACTGTAACTACAGTATACCATTTAAATAAAAAAAACAATAACTTAACCAGATTCTTAATGCATTTATCCAAACAGTACAGATCATCTTAACCTTCAGAACTATTGATCTGATTTGGAGCTGAAGCACAAATAAATATAAAGTTAAACTGAGTTGAGAAGCATGCTTACATTTCAAACCCTTGCCTATAATGAATTTATTTCAAAAATAGCAAGTTTATCTTGCAATAGAGCTATGGCCTTTATATTTTTGAACTCCTAATTGCATAAAATGCATGTGTAGATCACATATGCGGGCACATGGGGCCATCCCCAATACTCGCCCTGAATGTAATTTCTGTAGAGAAAATATTAGCATAATTTTTAAACCCGGTGTGGATACATGTGGCCTGTATTTAAATTTTCTTTTAATGAGCTAAGTAGATTAGCAGAGGCCTCCTTTGTAAGAAAGCTTCTCAAACAACAGCTGGATGGCTCGCAGTGAGAGTTTAGGGGCTGGAAGAACCATCACATTTTTGTTACTTGGTGTTATTATATTTATTTGTAAAAAGGTTTCTGATCAATACAATATCTGTGTGAACACTTAAAAAACCAAGCACATTAGAACAAGTTTTCTATTGTTCACTTCTCAAGCAATTCCTTTTTTTCTAAATATATCTTTTAAGAGTTACGTAGGAATGAGCAAAAGCTAAAACTGTAGCAGGTGAAGTGCAGTAGCCATATATCCTCTCTTAACTTTGCCTATGTTGCTGCCATTTTCATTCCTACTGCTTAAGCTTACATATTCATTGAAACTATTAAAATAAAAAATAGTTTCATATTACTGACTCTTGCACTTTAGTTATAAGATTACTGACAGCTTTTTGGATGCACTTGTATCCCTAAAAGAGTGTTCTGTGTTGATGAAGCGATCTTATGATGTTTTCCGGATGCCTGTGCCTTTTTGAATGTATTAATGTTTGCACTTTATATCCTCGCTTGAGCAGCTTAGGGTGTAAGCTTATAAAATATTTATAGGTATCCAAAGAATGAATGCTCTTCTCTTAAACAAAATCAAATCCTGGAGAGGTTAAGCACTAAGATTTGATATAGAAAGAACTGCATGAAGATAACTTGAATGTTTAATTGTTCCATTTTAAACATTAAGTCAAGCTTTGTTGTTGTATTATTTATTTCAGTGACAGTATGCTACTATGTCAATGTTTTCTTTACTTGTACAGTTGTAAAACTAAGAAATACTTATTTAATCATTAACTTTTCATTACTGTTCTTGTTGGAGGAGCGTTCTGTCTTTTCTTTAGCAAATGTCACTATAATGTCATAAAACTGTTAAACTGTTGAAAGACTGTGTACTCTCAGTCAATGTGTTCACTCAGAATGTGTATGTTTACAAAGAAAGAACTGCTGCTTGATGTGATCTGAATATCTTTATTAATATAACATTAATAGACAAAATAGCTTTAAAAAGTATATTTATTAATATCCGAAACATATTTGACAGGTTGTGGAATATGTCACAAGCTGTAGTAGCAGCATAACAGTTGAAAGTCCTTAATATTGTTATACAGAGGGCCCTATCGTAAGCGGTGTAGTGAATACCTCATCTTTGGGGTCATCTGTAAGCATATATGGCACATTGTGAATAATACCCTGGATAATAATATGGTAGTCATCTTCACATTTGCCCTACTCATTCTAAATAAGGAGCTTCACTGTTCTACTACATTCATCTGAGTAGAATTCAGGCTCAACATGTGAGGTTTTATTTTCAGTACAATGGTTTCTAGCACGGCAGTTTATGCTTTAGTCACATACTGTAGTTTCCTTATCTGCTAGCCCTTAACGTCAAAGAAAATGATTATTGGGAAAACTACTGTAATTTTCCTGAATGGCACATTGTAGCATCCTAATCTACAAGGAAGTGTGGAAGAACAACACACATGACTGGTAATCTCAGAGCACCGCGTGGCGCATGGCATTGAAATCAATAGCATGATATCAAAATGCAAAGCTGTAAATGCATGCCCCTGCAAAGCCATCTAAAACTACTGGAAGTCCCAAATGACCCACTCATTAGTCTTAATATTGCCTTGTCGAAAGCTACTTAAAGTATACACTTACACTATGCACTTATTCACATCAATATATGGCTCCTGTCCTTAAGGGAATTTGTGCTAACAGCTTACTATTTCACAAACGACTTTAAAGGTCATAAGTATCCATTTTATATTCACCACGTGGATCCCAAAAAAAGCATTTCTACAAATTGTGCCACTTGTGACCTATTAAGAGCTTTTGATATGACGTTCGGTTTTCACTCAGTCTTGCTTATGTTGATCTGTGTCTTCAGAGCACGTCTCCGCAGTCTGCACAGGTAGGATAAGGCCAAGGATCCAGCGGGTTCCAAACACATCCTTTAGGTTGGATCTCCAGGGGCTGCGGTTCTCCACCAGCTGCCCCCTCTGCATCTGACACCAGGTCTGCCCCCGGGCCACCAGCAGCACCTGCTGGCAACAGAAGCCCGCACAGACCAGCCCGATGCCCAGCCACACATACAGCATCAGCACCAGGAACAACTGCAATCCTGAGACTGTTCCTGTGGGGGACATTTCATCAGAATCAGAATCAAGTTCCACTTGGGGTAGTAATACAAAATCTAAAATGTCTTAACATTTAAATTTAAAATTTCAATGGCATGATATCCAAAACATGTTTTTTGAGCTGGAATATGAAATGATAAAAAAATGTAATTACAAAAATACTTCAAGAAAACTAAGGGTTAATATTGTGAGAGAGGCTTGCAGAGATCAGGACTTAGAGTGTCCTTACTTGTTATTGTGCATTGTAAGTCTTTTGGAGAACAAACTCTATTTTGGTGGTTGTATCTGACAGTTATTTTTTTATATTTGAAATGGTCCAGAAACACCATTGTTTTCAGGGAGTCAGCCTGAATCTTAAAGTATCAGCTCTAATTGGATTTGGATTGGATTAAACAACTCACCTGTGAAGAAGTAACCAGTGGAGAGGGGGAGAAGAGTGAGGAAGGTCAGCGGGTTCTCAAAGGAGATGGAGTACTCCACTGTTAGAAAGGCCACACCAAGAACCAAGGAGTACAAACAAGTGCATGATGTGTAGATGCAGAACATGATGAAGTAGCGCATGTTTTTGTTGCCAATGCAGTTCCCAGTGAAAAAGCAGTGGTGATCCCTCTTGAGGATAACCTTCTTACACAGTTTACAGAAGTGGCGACCGTTGAGGAGGTAGTGTGCGTCCACTTTGTCCGAGCAGTGTGCCGAACACACAGGAACCACAATCTCGTTGGCACTCTCAGCAGGATATGTAATAGTCATTATGTAATTTCCCAGTGCGTTGAACATCAAGAAAAGGAAAACAACTGTGTGAAGAGTTGTAGACCCCGTCAGTGATGTGTCGGCGTTTGGGAAGATTGTTGGGATGAAGAAGCAGAAGTGCAAAATGAAGGTGACTGCTGTAGCCATGAAGAAGTAGGCAGGTGCCATGGCATTGAGGAGCCTCAGTTTCAACATCCTGGTGAACATATCTGTGAGAGAGTGAAGACAGAGGAAACAGACGTTTATCATAAAGTCTTAGAAAACTGCTAGAAGCTCTGCGGAGCGATTATGTTGCATCAACAAAATGTATTCTGTCTTGTTTAGGTAAAAGGAAACAACTTGCTCTATTGAGTAATCAACAATTGAGAGCTATTAACCCTGACAATTATAAGAAATAAAATCAAAATTAATACATTCATTTACACTTTTCAAGAAATACATAACATCATACAAGTGCAAAATCATTCAAAAACGTTGCCTATTTTATAATATACTAAAACAAATTATTTTCTTATTATGGCTTTCACAGATTACTTAAAAAAGTTCTGATGGAAATACACAGATAAAAGATGACTCTTTACAATTGTTTGAAAGTAGCACATCTCCTACTAGATCTTTTGAAAAACTGTGTGATCTGGTTGCTCCTTTAAAAAAGACATTGTAAGTGTGCTGCTGAGAAGAAAAAAAAACTAATTTCTCTGCAAAGTAGGGTCTAGGGATACGGGGCCATTGAGAATACCAAGAATATCTCATAATTTTGTCTGTGATCTACTAACTTACATGATTGACAGATGTGCAAATCACAGAGAACCAAAACAAAAAATGAAGGAAGGAAGGAGCTCCCACAGAGTAAAGCTAAAAATGGTTCTTCATGCTCATACTGTATAGGAAAACACTATTTAGGCCAATGGATGCCCTAGATAAGCACACACAGCAGCAACAATGAAGGACTATCGCAGTTTCCTCTGCTCCGTGTTTGCTGTTTTCTTCAGAAATGATGTAGTAGTCAATCATGCATTTCCCACGAATACGCAGTTACAGCTGTGATGGTGTCCAGGCTGCCTACCTGCAGATGAAGGACGGAGGAGCTGTCCTTTCAGCACCGCGGAGCCTCGGCTCGCAGCTCCGCACGTTCATTCAAACGCACTGAAGGTGTTGTTGAGCCACATCGAGGTCCTCCTTTCATTATTCAAGTGTCTGCTTATTTTTCTAGCGCCACCTGTTGGTCTGGATGCGTCTGTGTTTTTACCTTCTCTGGTTTTCCTGACTTATAACTGGCTGGATAGTTCAATCAGACCCAGCACGAATTTGACGTACAAGTCATTTAAAAACAAACATGTCTCTTTTTCTGTCAAAACATTTCACAAAACTCTTTCACCTATCTATTAACCACGTCTGTACATGTGTAGACCTCTCGTGTTTTTATTTGATTGTTGACAGTATGAAGAGATATTCAGATAATTTACTCAAGTATAACAGAAAAACACTCTTTTAAAATACTTCCTAATAGGAAAAAGTGTCACAAATTTGTAAAAAATAAATATATAATTCAAAAGCTTCACATTTTTGTTAAATCATTCGTTATTACAGTATGTTACATCATATTGTTATAGATGGCTCATTTAATCTAACATATAGGCCAAACAACTATTTGTTTGGTCTTCCTGGGCTAAGTTTAGGACAATGCATGAAAGACATGTTTCCAGTAGGTGGCAATGTATCCTCAATTATTTTACCTTCAAATATGTGCTGTCAGATGAGTAATATACGTTTATTTTTATTTTTGCTTTACTCAGCAAGCATAACAAATCCTCACTCTCCTTACCTTTTGTTGTCTCACCGCCTTAATCATTCTGCTGGCATCTTTCAGTGAAATACATAATAATACTTTAATCACCAGGGGAAACAAACAGTTAATATTAACAGATAATTATATAATAATCAATTGGTATATCCTAAAAATGGTATTAGCCTAAAACACGACATCGTAGTTATAGTATAACATGACGCCCCCTTAGCATCCGTAGAGGCAGGTGTTTAATTGTCAGACGGTCCCTGAGTAGGTGGGAGTTTCTCTTGTTTCTTGGTGTTGGAGAAAAACACAGCAGCACCCCCATTATCGCCAGACGCCAGCGATCAGGGAGCTTTCTGAGGTGAGCGATGTGGTTTTGTTTTTTTAAAGTCATGTGTTCGTGTTGTGATCTGAAAGCGATGTGGAGGTGGTTTATTATGATATGTATGGCGCAATCGTTTTCATCAAGTTACAGGGGTGGAGGAAGAAGGTGGGTGTGCAGCAGACTGTTGTGAGTGCTGCAGTAAGCGAGGGGACAGAGTCGCTTAAATCTGTCTGGTTGATGAGAGAACCACTAATTTGTTTCTATTAAAAGATCCCGATGTTAGCCTGAAGTGAAATGGAAACGTTAAAGGGCTCCCTCATCCTGGCACAGGGATGTTGTTGCTCCGTTAGGATGAAGAGGTTTCTGGCAACGTGTCAGAGTATACACACTAAACACATTCCTTTTTCTCACTACACCTATTGTTCCTCATGGAGTCAGATGGGTGGAAGACCTTAAAAAAAACGAACTGCTTTTGGATTACCCATTGGAGTAATAATATTCAAACATAATCATATTTAGGCTTCCTTTAGGCAGGCTGTGACCATGGTATCTTCTCTATGACTGTCATGTTTTGTGTATTTTTTTTTACAAACAGAATGCTTTTAAATGTATACCTGACCTGTTGAATCAATGCTAAATCTACTGGATATTTAGCAGTTTTTAGCACCATCTCACCGGCTCTTCCTAAAATAGCATTTAGAATATACTTCTGAGGTAAACTGAGGTCACATTTCTGCGCACCCTTTATTTTGTTATGACAAAAACTAATGATGGTGTTTTGGGAATGTGCTCAAACATCTATGTAATTGTATTTTGTATTTGTAATTAATTATCCGATTTAAAACTAATGTGGAATTCATAATGCTATTTGCAACTGCTGCCATATGTACCTGACTGTGTTGAGGAGGAGGTGGCCTTTAAAATGTCAGCTTCCTAATAAGTGTTTGACATTTTACCTTGTCACTCATGCGTAGCATTTGTCTGACACATGCTGAAGAATTTCATGCCATATAGTGAGAAAAAAAATCTAAAAAAGAAAGGTCTTGTTTCTAGTGGAAAGTAATATTTAATAATAGTTTAATGAGAATGCTGAGATGTTTAGCCTTTTAAAGAAAATACATTTTGAGGCATTTCAAGAAATATTTCTTAAATACTACAATAGTGTCATGGCTTTAAATTCACTCTTTGGCATTAGCAATCCCTTCAGGTTTGAAATGTCACTACAAAAAGTTAGTATAGTTGTAATACTGGTAACTAATTGGAATCATAATGATCAATTGGACACACACTACAACTTTTTACCACAACCTTTTCATTATACAGGTGGTGAGGTTTTAATAATATATATTTGTCTGTGCAGGTAGACCCCTTCATAATAATAATAGATGTATTGAACGTGTAAAGGACGTGTTTGACTGAGGTGCACAACATAAATGAAGTGCTGATATCGTGATAATCACTTTATATTTTGAGCTTGCATTTCAAAAGCAGTACAAAGTCTCTCAAGAATATTGAGCAAATTAATTCTGGTCACCTTCAAGTATCACACAGACATTAACATTTCAGGAGACTCTAATCTGAGATTTAAAAAAAGAGCTTGCAGTACGAAGATGGATCCCGTGTACATTTACAGCATTAAACAGCTGCTGAACGGTCACACAGGCAGAGGACGATAGAAATTTGCAGATTTGATAGAAGTATGCACAAGCCTCTTTCCATGGATCTTCTTTGTCTGGTTTGTTTGTTTTTTCTGTGTTTGTTACAACACCTTGGGAAGGGGGACAGCTCCAGCTGCAGGGGATTATCAAACAGTAAAAAAAGGGAAGTTGTTGCACAAAGATCTTTTGTGGTGCAAAGCGTCAAAATCCCATAAACCGCCCTATCTCACATGGAAAATGGGTAAAGACAAAGACTTAACACTGTACAGGGGAATCATTTCACTTAGGTTTAGGCTCCAGGAACGTCAAATATAGAAGCCATTTGAGGTTTAAGCATTATTTGATGCTTGGCCTTATTGGAAAAGTATTTTAGTTACATTAAAACTCAATCTTAAAATGTTTTTGAAACATAGGAGGTTTATTTTTGTTAGGCTGAGGACTAAGGACAGCAACCAAAAACCTTTCGATATGTATATTTATTATATTTATTGATTTATATATTGATTTTAGTGTCATTTGTTACTTCATGTTTTGTTGTGTTGATATGCAAGGGGTTGATATAAAAAAACAAATATGAAATTAATAAAAATCTTCAATAACTTTATAGTTATTTCTGCATTGCAATATTAATGCTTCTACAGTAGTAATATATCCCAGTACATGAGATAAATATTCAGTAGTGGCTTTTAACACATTAAAGAATGACAGTTAGCTCTACATGTGAGCCCAGACTGTCTGAGAGGAACAACCCACTCTGTTAACAGATTGCACCCTGTGTAGCACCTAACACACACACACACACACACACACACACACACACACACACACACACACACACACACACACACACACACACACACACACACACACACACACACACACACACTGTTGTGAGATGTGATGTGCAGCAGGTGTATGTGCCGTACATCCAAGATTGCATCGTTCAGTTAATGAGACATATTACTGTGACTCATCCCCTCAGCCACATGTCATCCGGCTGCTAAATCAAAATGTCAGTAAACACGTTGGTGAAAGCCTCTTGACAGAAAGTCGAAAACAAACAGATTATTAGAACAAAACAACGACTACTGTGCAACCTCCATTTGTATTCTGCCTGCCATCATACCACAGCCGTTCTGTAGCATAGTCTGGGCTTTGTTATTTGTATCTCTTTGGTGAAGAGTTGGCTCCCTGCTATTTGAGATTCCTGCTGTGAATTTCCTTGCTATTCCACAGGGGTCCATCCCAGTGATACTGACGCATTCAGCATTGTAACTGTTGTATCGCTCACAGCCACTCACCAGCAAAGAGCACATTGCCATATGCCTACTGTAACACCAGGAACGAGATATAGATATTCACAGCCATATGCAGATGTCAGACTATCTTATGCTCTCACATGATACTCTGCCTTTTGTACATGCACTGCAGGCCAATGATTGCCATTTGATATCTCTGCAGGAGATCTTTTTTGTAGTGCATAACTTCCTGTAGGTCTCAGACTTCGACAATCAGTCAACTCATTGATTAGTTATCGTTGGCTTTGTAACTGGGCACTAAGATATGTCAACATGGGCTCTGGGAACTTACTACAGACACTTTTCAGTATGCTGTATCATTTTATGGATGAAATAATTAAGAGAAAATGTGGGGTTTAAATTGATGTCCTACATTCCAAACATAATTGCCTCCCAATAATTGAATTACATGAAAATTAGCTTACAGAAACCTGGCAAATGTTAACAGTCTTAGCATTTCGGGTTGTTTTTTTCATCATAAAAAGACCAACACTAAGCAAACATGGTTGTTGAGAAGAGAATAATGATTTCTCATCAGCTATCTCGCAAATATGACATACTGTAGTAACCTGCTGTCTGCTTTAAACTGTATTATCACTCAATTGTAATGTAACTGAAGTTTACTTTCATATGGTACTAAAACAAATGGGTTCCAATGGCTTCTTTGGAATATGATTGGTGTTTGTATAATATCAAGGAGTGTAATTCACAAAAATCTAGGTACAAAGTTATTGTAAAGAAGCATTTATAGAAACAACTTATTTTGAAGAGCAGAGATTTATCTGAATCAATCTATTAAGATGTCAGTGTTTTTACTTTTTTGTAGATGTGGGGGTCTCAGGCGCATTTTCAGGATCAGCTCCTGCACTGGGAGGAAACTTCCAGAAACTCATAGTTATGCAACAGAGACACATATTATGTGAGTCAGGTTTTACTGAAGCCTTCACTGATGTCAGATGTAATGAGGAACGACCCAGTCCACAGCAGCAGGGCAGACACACAGCGATCCCCAATGAGCATGTGCAGCCAGACAGGAAGCAGATGTGAGGTTTGATGATCTCTGCTAGTGTGTGCAGTCATCACCCCAGTCATGCTAAGGCTCTCTCACCCTTCAGAAAGGTGCTGGGGGGATGCTGCATTAGCTGTGAGCAGACACACCTTGGTGATCTCTGTTTGTGTTGTGTGATGGAGAGAGAGTGGGTATGAGAAGAGTACATCTCCTCCCTCCTCCACTGAGCAGGTGGTGAGCAGATTGTGCTAAAACCTCCGCCCCCTTTCCCCCTTCAGGCTGAATCTGATGAGGGTTTCCCATCCACATCCTCCAACACCAACCAAACCATGACAGCAGAGCCCTGTAGCTCCTGTGGAGTGCAAATAAGATGCACTCAAACATGGTCTTTCTATTTAAATAGGCTAAGATACTTTCAGAATAAAACAGCTGGTCGATATTTCAATACAATCCCTAGTAGTGGTCAGTTCATGTGGAGAGCAAAAGGGGCAGAACACAGCGACTAAAATGCAATCTTTAATCCCATCGGCTGTCACCTGAGGACGATGTAGCTTTTATCTAGTGTAAACTAAGCCTGTAAGCAACTGTAAGGTTGATAATGGGACTATAAATAATGACCGGTGCATGCTAGAGGACGATTGTCCCGATGGCTACAACAGAACCTCTACTGTGCTCACAGAGGTTTCATCTTAGTTAGACCCATATGTGCCGATGGGTTCATGCAGTACATTAGATGGAAATAAGTCTTAACCCTACAGTATAGCATACAATAATAACTTAGTCAACAGTATGATTCAGTTTATGTCCAAAGCTCTAATGTAACAATGCCTCAGTGTACAAAGCCAGGTCAATAAAGACAGAAAATCCCATTTTACCCCCATATAGGATGAGATGGAGCCATGTTGTTCAGCCATACATCACAAGCCCACTTCACCTACTGTATGTTCCTCTAGCAGGAAGCACATTTGCATCCAGGTTCCAAAGTTTTGTAGAAAACCTTCCCTGAAAAGTGAACGCTGTTTACGCAGGATATAATTAATGCTAAGGGCTTTATAATTAGACCTCATGTCTACAGGTACGTGTAATTTTCAGGTGTCCCTACTTGCCCTGTAGTTCATGTTCTGTAAGTGAATGAGAGCTGATAAGCTGGCACGGTCTCATTACATCCCTTGTGTGGTTTTGCAATTGCACTGTCAACTCTGGTTTGACGAAACACTATTAAGCCATCATTCAGCCTCTGATCCATGTGGATTATTGGAGGGCTTACCCGGAAACAAGAGTAGTAAATCCATCTCAGGTGCTCTTTGGTGTTGATGGAAAACTACAGGGGGACTAAATAATATAAACTCACAATGAAAAATTACTTCAACTGAAATATAGGGGTAAGCTAGTGAATAAAAACGCCTGGCAACCACAAGAGAAATAAAGAGATATTTAAAGCTGACATTATTTAAGCTAAATTGTGTTTACATTATTTTCTCTACCCGCTGTTGCCTTTTAAATATGTTCCCATGCCTCTCATCATACCACAAATTAGAGGTAATGTTACAGATCAGCTTCCACAAGTCTTCATCTCATCTCATGTCATGTCTCATGTTTTATTGGTTTGTTAACAGTCCATTAGAGACAGCTTGTTTCAATAGAATACCTTTTAAACACTAGGATTTCCATAATCAGGGCCTCAGTTTGAGATTAACATGCAGAGCACAGATAGTAATCACTCATGAATATTCTACCATCTCTGGGTCTTTCACATGACGTTGTTGGCAGGGGAACTGCAAACCTCTCTCTCCCATGCAGGTGTCGTGGCAGGGGGAAACGCCATGTTTAACAAGGCTGAAGTCAAGAGGGAAACAACAGCTCTGAGGCCATCACGCTTTTATTTATGGTGATTGAAAGTTGTCCTTGCTGGTAGTCTTTTATCTCACAGTGGTGGACAGTTGATACGGTGCAGAGGTTTTGAAGAAACTCAAGTTCACACTTTATTTATGGTTCATTTCTCTCTCATTCCCTCATGCAGGTAGAATCTTGATCCAACCGAGTTTCTGGAGAGAAATCTTTTCAGGGGTGCTGTGCTCCAAATGCTTTATGTTGTTGATTACGCTTGGGTAAAGCTATGAATTAATAACCAGTCCCTTTGAAACATGTTAACATATAAAGATGTTTCCTGTCATGGCTTTATATGAGATATCATAGATGCAGCTTCTTGTTTCAGCATTGGCTAAGCATTAAGGCTAAGCTAATTGGAATATGTCATGCTAAACAACAGTCACGTGGAGTTTTTGTTGTTGTTTTTTAGTTCTAATATTGTGAATTTTTTTTATACAGTATGTCTTCTCTTAATTGTAGGTCTTTGTATTGAATCATTGAATAGCTGTTGAAAAAAAGCATGTGCAATTATCAACATGTTATCATGTTTGCTCAAAGTCTGTGCAGTCTCAGAGATCTAATAGCGAGACTCAATGTTTTTTAACTCTTTATATGTAAAGCCAAAATGTGTTGTTGACACACCTACAATAACAATGCTCTTAAACAGTCAGCACAAAGGCTCCGGCAGCCTCTAATTCAAAAAAATTGGGAGGAAGTGCTGAGAGACTTCTGGATTGAATCGGGGTTTATTGCTTGTTATTGACTTTCTGACTTTCTGATTTACAGTTTAATTGTTTTGTCTGTGTTGCCTTAGGGATAGTGTCCTCTCTCTCTCACACACGCAGATACCTCAGCTGTTTTTATGGTGCAATGAGCTGATTAGCAGACCTGAGCTAGCTTTTTCCTCCCCTATTCTGCTTCTCTGACTCAACTCAGGTATATCTCATCACTGGCTCGCTGCCCCTGTACTGACTTCAGCATCTGTGATCATAATAGACCTACTGAGCACAGAGGGCAGATTTCACTCATGCTGCCAAAAGGAGGCACAACAAAAGCCAAACATCAGTTTGTAAGCTGCTGCGTTGGCTTGGAAGCCCCAGTCAGGGATGAGTGGGAGAGAAATGAGCAGAGGGAAAGGATTAGAAATACTTCGGATTTGCAGAGTTCAATAAGATGGAGAAGAAAAGGATAGCATGGGAGAACTGTGAGCATGTTTGAGTGTTTATATACGAGGGGTGAGACTGAAAGGCAGAATCTCCATGGAGTGATTAGTGGTTAAACTGCTGAGTCATGCTGTGACGTTTGTCCTAATGTTGTGTGAAACCTCAAGTCAGCCTGTATCCTCAGCATCCTGCTCTGTTCTGGAGTGGAGAGGAATAGTTTGACTATTAGCATCAACAGCCGGCAGCTTTCAGAGTGAATGACTCGTCTGATGCAGGAAGAAGAAGATGTCAATGAGCCGATAAAGGTCTGTTTAAGCTTCTGCATGTCTGATGTTGTTAGAGCTCCAGTTTACTTCCAGCTTATAGTGTTGTTTTGTGTGTGTGTGTGTGTGTGTGTGTGTGTGTGTGTGTGTGTGTGTGTGTGTGTGTGTGTGTGTGTGTGTGTGTGTGTGTGTGTGTGTGTAGTCGTCGTAGGTAGTGGAGTAGTGAGAGTGTGTGTGTGAGTGTGTGTGTGT